GCCATGTATCAATTATCAAATTATATTAATATTGATTAGTATACAGTTGATAGAAAAAAATGAATAGTTATAAAATGAGTAGAATGATAGAAAATGTAAACGGGACGAAACGAGTGTGGGACGAAACAAGTGTGGGACGAAATGAGACGGGACGAAACGAGAGCTAATTAACAAATACGGGACGAAACGAGAGGATACCAATGAATCGGCTGTTATGTCAATGTGAATGTAGAAGGTAGATAGACATATGAGCTTCTAGATCTTCTAATTTCGTCTGTTTACCGTTCCACTCAGTCGACTTTCCAATCTTCCCGAAGGGTAGTTGGTCTCTAGTACTTCTTATGCCATCGTTAGCATGTGAAAAGTCATAATCAACACATGTTGCAGAATATGAATACATAGAAACAAAGAGCGGTACTTAATTGCTACAGTTACTCGGGAAAGATCTTTCGTTTGATATACGTTGAAGTGATACGAAATTAGTAAATTTAATTCTTGTGACATTTTGCAAGCCTTTTACAAATTGGCAAGTAAGTACTTGCATCTTCAATTGTGATACAGCTTGATAGATAGTTTTTATTGGGATACAAAAATTGTATAGTGCACGCTAGAAATTGTACAGAATAACGGATTAAAGTAACTGGTATATTTTACTTTCTTTCAGTACAGTCATTGAAAACTAAATGCAATTCTTGAAAATCAGAGTAATCATTATATCCAATCGAAGCTATACAAATAACGATTTGAAATCTTCTATATTTCACAAAAACTTTATTGTTCGCGCTTTCAAATGTTTTATGTCTTGCGTTGCTGCACTGTCAGTATTTTAAAAACCGTCTGTTTGAGTTTCGAACTGATCAACGGAAGAAGTTTTTCCATTATTTTGAGACATCCATAGATATCAATTGATGTGAAATGAGTATTTTTGTAAAAACCAATATTATCTTACAAATTATAAGATATTATAAGGCACGGTCGCAATGTGTTTATTATGCACTGTTGTTCACTTTCTTCTCTTCAATTACGCGATAGTACTCTTTGAGTACACTTGTTCATTGCTGTTCGGAAAAAAATGATAAGCAACGTAGCAATAAAATTTAGACAAAAAAAAATACAAAAACTAAAATAAAACAGTTGGAGATGTTTCCTCGTAAAACTAGTTTTTATTTTAGTTTAATAAAATAAAAACTATCTATCGAAGCTGTATCACAATTGAAGATGCAAGTACTTACTTGTCAATTTGTAATGTTTTCTTTGATATTTATATAGGAAGAGTGGTGTACGTTATTTATCTTTCACTAAGTAAAATCTAACGTGGAAACGTGATATCTGTAAACCTTTATGATTAAGTTGCTAGAGGAGAATATATTTGGTCAATACTTTTATATGTGTACTTTACTACATTCCAGTTTATTTTGTGTCCTAAGCGCATTACTATTCCGATCGCAATAGAGATCTGCAACCCCAATCCTATCCGAACCGACACCCGGTCGAGTTCGGGTTTGACAACGAAAGCCGTCAGATTTTGTTGGGTTTGAAATTTCCTTCGATGGCGCTTTTCTCTTTTATCCAGCACTAGAGTGGATCATTTTTTCAAGTGCTCTTTTAGAAAAAAAGAATCAGCAGCAATTCCGCAAGCCTTTTTATGACCTCTTCCGCTAAGGATGCTCAAATTGTTAACTAATTGTGAGATATCGGATCGGGCTCGGGTTCCAAAGAGGAATATCGAATCGGGTTCGGGTTTGATCAGTCTAACCCGTACAGTACTCTAGATCGCAATAGGAAAAATATTGAAAACGTAACATATGCTTTACCGCGATTTATCTGGATAGAAACACTGTTACAATGTTTCTCAATTTTATCTCGATAAGGCGTGTATCGTAATTTATCAGTCTATTTCTAGGAATTCGGTTCTTTATCGTAATTTATCGAGATTATTTTCAAATGAAAAATACTTCGTGACTTATTCGAGCTATCCACACTAACAATTAACAATTTTCTGGCTTAGTGAAAAAGTATCGTTCTTTTTATTCACCAATTACATATAATGAAAATGCTTACAATTAGAGCAGTCATTAAAAAATTACCATTAATATGGTAAACGATGTCCCACGAGTAAGTTCCTCTTCTTCATTTTTATCATACGTAAATAATGAACAAGTTTTTTTTTCACAAATAAATTTCAACAACTTCCACTACGTTTATATTGTTCTTGTTCGAGCACTATGTCCAATATATTTATTTGTTTAATTGACTATTCGAATAACCATCTGTTTTAATCATAAATTTAATTATCGTACTCCATGATTATCTTCACTAAATACATCTCATTGTGACAAAAAACATGCTGCTAGAACTTCGATTGATCCTCGTATAAATAACAAAAATATCAATGACAGAATGTAACCACTAATGTCATTTGAATGCTATGACGAATACAACGATTATTATGAACTAAAATAGAGACACAAACAAAACATGAAATGTATAGAGTATTCCACAAGTAGACGATGACGATGAAATAAATATCTATACGTTTATAAGTCTATAATGGAATCAGGCAAAAAGGCTCGAACAAAAATTAAACTTTTTTTTATTAAGAACTATCAGTCCGCAAAGCGAAAACATCTTTGGAATATATACTTCGAAGTGTCCTCTACAAGCTGGTTAAAAAATGGTTGAGGAGATATTCCCCTTAAGACGAAGAAGCTAGTCGATGTAAAACACTCCATTCATTTTCTTACTTACCAAATTTCTTTATAAGAAAGATTACTTTCTATAACTGGGTTTTTACTTACATTGTATCTTCTGATCTAAATCTTCAATTTTATTGATTATCGAACTAATATTAAATAGGCTAATTTTTTCAAAATATTAATTCTGAGTGGACATTCAAAGTAACTAAACGAAAGATGAATAGAAATGCAACGTATAAACAATGATAAAGTCTGCAGATCAATTAAGTTTGCACTTTGAGTGACAAACTACGATATCTTTTTCAAACGTATATGAGATATAGACTAGATAAAATACAGTAATCACTTGTTTGGCTATCACTGTTTAAAATAATTAGACGCTCAATCGATCGACTTCCGTTTAAATCCAGTTATAGTACTCCAAGATGTTAGCAAAGTAAAATAACAAAACTTACATAGAAAAGTTGTAGTAAGATGTAGTATGTCATATAACAGAAATATAACATGGAAGATAAATCTATTTAATAATAGACTTTTACAACTGCTTAACAAGGAGTTGAAACTAAATTTTCGATTCTTAATCTATATTTTATAAAGTTATATCGAATTATCTAAACTCGTTTTCAATCCAGCGTCTTTGTATTTATCCTCAAATCTCATTACACAGTGTGAAATAATTGCTTTTATTCAAATTTTTATATCCAATTTATCAACTAATGAATAAGTTACAAAATTAATAAATTGGTCTTTCAAATCATCAGTTTGAATACAATATGGCCAAATAGATATCGACAAACGTCTTGACACACACGGCTGATCGAAAGAAAAACAATGAACTAATTACGCCATTCAACAATGAACAAAGAATATTTATTTCCTTGTAGTCGAGCAAGATACAGGTACATATATAACAAATATTTCAGAAAAGCACATACAAGAATGATATAAGTCTAGCATAATACAGAGGAAAAAAAGTACGTTTCAAACTGTCTTCTAGACAACCTTATACAATCTAATTGAGGGTAAACAATCATTTTTTTTCAAAATTGTAAGTTCAAGTCAATCTTGCCCAAAACGAAACAGACAAAAAAAGAAAGTGCTTGCTCTAAAAATATAAACAATTCGAATATTCGTGTTCATTTAAATAATAATACGTTCAATATATATAAAGCAACAAAAAGTGAAAGATAATCAACATCAACAACATAGAAACAACTCTGGCTGACAACATAATATTTCTATTTCTCCTCACTGATATGGTGATCTACGACGAGATCGTTCGTAATTATTTCCACCTGTTGGACGCGTACCAATATATGATTGCTGTTGTAGTGATGGAAGGCGTCCGCTATTAAGATTCGATTGAGTTTGATGAGAAGAACGTTGTAATTGCGTAACTGCGTTTTGTTGCCCAATACGAGAAACAACAGATTGATTGTCATTTTCATTATAAAATTTGGCTAATGCGGCTGCTAATAAAAGATAAAGGTCACTGTAAATAGACAGAATAGAATCATATAGAATATATAGCGATATTCGCACTAACCGGAAGATAATTGTGTTCCACTAGCCAAACCACCGGAAAAACCAGAAAACCCTAACGAAGAATGGCCTGCAAAAAAAGAAAAGGTCGGATTATCTTGCAATATTCTTAAAAAAAAACGCTACCAGAACTGCCTAATAAACTTGCATTGCTACTGTAAGAATCAGTGCCTAACGATGAATTGAGACCAGGAGTAGTGGATTGTAGACCTAAAAATAAAACAAGAAAGTGTATAAAAATATATGAGTAGTTCATGATGAAGAGCTAAAATACATTCAAATACCTTTCTCTACTATAGAACTTACTTGCAAGGGCACTCAATGCATTATTTCCAAGCGATCCGGTTAATGCGCTTAAAACGCTCAAAGCACTTGGTGATAATTGTGACAACATATTTAATGCACTCAGATCATTGTGATTAATATAATCTAAAACATAAGTGGTATTAAATGAACGCTTCTGTTTTAGTACGAAAAAGAATACAACGTACCAGAAACGCTCGGAGAAAGTGTTTGTAGTAGATTTTGATTCAGTTGTGGAAGAGATGGCTCGATTGGTCCAGAATCTAAACAAACAAATATACGATGTAAGAAAGCATTTCAATAGAGAATTGTCTTTACTGACTGAATTGTTCGAAACACATTGTTTATTATAAGAGAGCTTACTTGATAGACTATTAACATCTCGAAGAAGATTTCCTCCAATACCTAATCCAGCACCAATAGTTTTCAAACCACCTGACAAAGAATAAAAATAAGATCAACTGAAAATATGATCCATATTAAGCAAACCATACTTGGTAATTTCATTGGTTTCGAATCATCTTGCATATCCCTTGAATCAATTTTAACTGCCATATTTCTATCGAGTAATTGTTGTTCATTAAACATCGATACTGCTTGAATTGCTTCTAACGGATGTTCATATTCAACAATAGCCATTCCACGGCTTGCGCCTTCTTTTGTTTTTTTCAACGTTATGTTACGTATCCGTCCAGCTAATGCAAATATCTCGCGAACTTTGTTTTCGTCACAACGAAAATCTAACTTAAATTAAGAATAAATACGGTAAGAAACTGACTCTGTACTATTTCCTTGTTTACTACTCACATTTGCAACAAACACTTTATTTGTAATTGGACCCTCAATACCAAGACGTTGTAAAACATGCTGAGGAATGTTAGCAAGAGAAGAACAACCGGATAACGACGAACCAACACCACTAAGACCTAATCGAAGAGAGAAAAAAAATGACATTTGAATACATACAGACATTTTAAAGAAACGAAAGTATCTCAAAAACCAGCAACGTTTCTCCATTTTTTTCCGAAATCAGTCTAATTCTATGATGAATAATAAAAAAAGTCCTAATTATCGGATTTAATAGTTTAGTTGTAAAAGGTGACAAAGTGTATCTAGAAAGCCTACCAGTAACTTGATTTGTTGGCAAACTTGAGATATTTGGACGAAGTTCAGATAACAGCGAATTAGAGGTCAATGAAGTGTTTTTTTGTGATAGTTTTCCTTCAAGTGCTTGATATTTTGATCGCCGAGTACGATAACCTTCTTCATCCTAAAATGAAAGTGGCTTTTCAAAAATAACACAAACCAGTAAAAAAGATAGTATGCCTACTAGTTTCACAGATAATTTTCGACCATTAAATTCGTACTGATGCATTTTTTCCACAGCTCGTTTAGCTTCATCAATTGTACGAAATTCAATAGAGCTTAAAAGAGGCAATTTTAAAAAGTGATAAATCCACATCGTCTTAATATTTTACCCGCAACCAAGTGATTTTCCATTTCGTTCAAATATTTCTGTATACATAACTTCTCCAACTATAACAGAAAAAACATTATATACCATTTTTGTTATAGAAGAGAAAATAAATAAAATAAACCTTCAGTACGAAATAAATCTTTTAACGTTGCCCATCTTACGTCATATGGAATGTTACTAACAAACACTGTTTTTTCCCATCTAAATAAGCAAAATGTGTCAAAAAACAAAGGAGTCTGAAATCCTAGCAATAATTTTCATACCGATATTTTAAACCAAGATCATGATCTGAATAATTTCGTGCTGGGTTCTGTTGTCGGTCATTTGTTCTAATACGTCCACCTAACTGTAGACGATTATAATCATGACGAATATTATTGCTGTTGTTACTACTGTGCTGTTGTCTATTATGACCGCGATGATGTTCTGCCGGTAGTTCAGGTGAATAAGATGATCGAGAATGTCTGTTAGAACTTCGAGATCGTGAACGAGACCTTTCCATTGGGAAACGTAATAGATGATTATTGTAATCTTTGATAAAAGAAGAAATACAGAATTGATAAGAATGGCTAAAGAGATAAACTTAACACTTATATTGACCTAGTGAATGGAAAAATTTAGACTATATTTCAATATTATCTAAGGGGAAAAACATTCGAGATAATTTCCTTCAAATACAATGATATTTCTATGTCAGTCAATCTAGAACATACTGAAAGCAGACTCTGTTTAATTAGTAATAAAATAGATCCAACATTATAACAAGCATGAAAAAAAATATCATCCATAAAAATGACATTACTAGCAAATAAAATTGCAAAAAACAACTGATTAATCAACCCTTCCCAGCCAACAATTCCTGAAACACAGCAAAAAATACCATATGGCAACATCCGACTGGAAAAGGTTAAAATAGGGCTCTTTGGCATTCATTTTGAAAACATCTGGCAATAAAAAATTCTCCCTTAAAAAAACTAAAAGATAATCTGACTTGTCTGAAGTTTACCGAACAAAACTTTACCACCAAGCTAAATAAAAACTGTGTTGTTTTAAAAATATTAATCTGTGCAACACTGCTGAGATGCAGCAGTAGAACCCAGGGGCATTATTGAATCAAGTTTTCGATGGTTACGGGATATACATCAGCAACCATTTGAAAGTGCAATCTTCTTGAAAAGAAACAGAATTCTGCATCTAAACAACATTTAATATCTTCTGTTTGACGATAAATATGTTGTTCACCTTCGAATGCAATATATTGGAGGAGTTTTTCTCTTCTCAGCACATTCACCATCGATTCTGCTTGATTCGGCAGTAATCTTATCTTTATTGCCATCAAAGAATGTAACTGGACAAGATAATTGTTGAACATAACTGAATGATAAACGTTTAATATAAATCTTTTCCCTCCGGATAAGGTCCAATTAGAGTACTGAGATATCGTAATTCAAACTTGTGTGCGCCGGTAACTATTGATTCTAAATCGCTCACACCATACAACGAAGCACTTGCAAAAAATGTCGTGTATTCTCTTGCAGATTCGCCGTCGACAGCCAAGCGACTTTTACCTACTAAATTGTTATCAGCAAGATACAAAGCGCCATGAATACGACACTTTTAAACGTCTAATTTATAATTTTATTTTTTCTCACCTCTCGAAACACTTTTTTTGTAAACAAACAGTTCGGTTTTCGTCCTAAACATTCTACTCTGGATGCTTTGTTGTTTTTATCTTCAACCGTCTTTAACTTTTAGAATGCTAGTGTAAAGTGTGTTGGTATATCTTTTGATTTTTCTAAAGCATTTGACTCTGTTCCTCATTCTCTCTTGTTAGAAAAACTTTCTCGTTGTGGTGTGTGTGATTCTTTGTTGTCTCTTCTATCTTCTTATCTTTCGAACAGTTCCCAGCGTGTGTATGTGAATGATTCTGCCTCTTCTTCTTCTGTTTCTTCTGGTGTTCCTCAAGGCAGTGTGCTTGGGCCTCTTTTATTTCTTATTTTTATTAACGATCTACCTCTGTCGCTTCCACCTAATTGTGAAATCTGTCTCTTTGCTGATGATGTTTTTTTGATGGTTCCTCTTTCCTCTACTAATTCTTCTAATTTTTCTCATGTTCAAAACTGTATAAACTCTGTTTCTCACTGGTCTTCTTCCAATCTCATGTCTTTAAACGTTTCTAAATGTTGTTGGCTTCCTTTCTCATTCAACCTCTTTCCGTACGTTTATAATCAATTGTATCTCAATGGTGCTCCTCTCTCTGTTGTGTCTTCTGTTCGTTGTCTTGGTGTTCTTGTTTCGTACGATCTTAGGTGGAATGATCATGCCAGGGACATTACTCTTGCTTGTCGGCGCAAGCTTGGTTGAATCGTGCCTTTGGATTAGCTCCAACTGAAGTTCGGCATCGAATCTATCTTTCTTCTATTCTTCCTAAAGTTGACTATTGCTGTGCCTTGTATGACAGTTCGTTTTCTCTTACTGTCCTTGATTCTGTAAACAAACTTGCTTCTCGTGTTATTTTTTCTCGCAATTTTGACTATCGTTCTTCTAGTTCTCTACTTGTGTCTCAACTTTCTCTTCCAAATCTTACTCTTCGTCGTAAATACTTTAGACTTCTACAATTTTTCAAAATTTATCATCATCTAAGTCCTATTTCTCTTTTTTATACTGTTCATCGTCCTCACTACTCATCTTTACGTCTTCATCATTCGAAATATGTTCGCATTCCATCTTCTGTTGATGATTATTCTCCGCAAACGGTGCATTCTTCTTTTTTTATTCAACTATTGCTGACTGGAATAATCTCCCAGAGTCAGTTATTTGTCTTTCTTCTTTAACGTCTTCCAAAACAGCTTTATGTCAGTATCTCTTCCAGTGAAACGTTTGTCAGTTAAGAATTTATATTTGTTCTTTTTTTTTTACTACTTCTGGTTCTAACCTTAGTTATCTTATTTATTTTGTTCTTTTTTATTACTCTTTTTGTGTTGTTTGGCTTGAGTCATTTATTACAGGTCAGTGACCTTTGATGACTCTCTCACTTTTCGTGAATAAACAGTCTTAGTCTTAGTCTTGGCCAATACAATCTTCAACATCGCATAGACTTCAATAGTCTTGTACTGCTTTTTGATAACGACGTCCATAGCCAGTACTTCCAGAAATGACGACAGATTTGTCGATTGACAGATAACGTACTTAATATAATCTAAACTTAATAAATTGAATTTAACTAAAGAACACGCTACTAAAACTGAACTAGTAATAAAATACGCTGGTGGTAGTATATCGTAGTATACACGATTTTATATCGAGCTGTTTTACATGTTATCGATCACTGTTAACTCTCATTGACCATTTCTGTGTTTTTCAACCGAACTATCATTCGAATCAAAACCATAGTTTGTTAATCAAGAACGCAAGGCGACTCTAGCGAAATCTGCTTCAGTGGGACATATTTTCGATAATTCCATCATCAATATATATTCCACTAATCATTACGATCGCTAAAAAAATAAATATAATTATTATCTGATGATCATTGTAGTTCACGCAGTAGCAACAACTTGATTATCCGTTTTAATGTATTTTCTCTAACGCAAATTAGACGACAACATTTTTGATCGATAATCAAACAGCATAACTTGTCGTTTCACTTATGATTCCCACTAGCAATGAGTTCAAACTGTTTAAATTCTAACGATACAGTTACTGATCCGTATAATTTAACTCAAGTTCAGTTATCGATAACACTGAACGTTGAAGGAAAGAAGTGAAAATGCAGAATGTCGAAAACCTGAAATGTACAAAATGAAGAATGACAAACGGTGAAAACAACGGAAATGTGAGTATTGGAATTAGACATGTATCTCCGAAATGTTTCTGGCTCATAGTTCTGCGAAACCGAATTCTCTCTTTAAATATTCACATTTCCGTTGTTTTCACCGTTTGTCATTCTTCATTTTCTACATTTCAGATTTTCGACATTCTTCTTCTCGATCTTATGCATTCTCCCAGTGTTGCTAATAACAAAGCGTACTCATTGTATCAAAGCGTACATACTCTTCGGAATTTAAAAATACGCTCTGTTTTACACTATGCTAAGAGAAGCAGAGCATACACTGCACGCCTTGCTATCGCTATTTATAATTTGTTGTTTTCTAATAGAACCTTTCTATATTCGAGAGGAAAATAAGAACTTTTCTAAACGTCTTTAAGTGAGTAGTCAGATAGGAAAAGAAACTTCTTTTTGTTGTACAAGATCAGTGATGTTTCTCTAGTTGTAATTGTCTGTGTCTGCAAAGTTGTTTTCTAGGAAAAACCTGTATAAAGAAACTTTTATTTTTCTCCTCTAATTTCTAATGCCTAATAGATGCTCTCCTTTTTAGATTTGAAGCGTGTACGCTTTGCGAAGAAAGACAGAGTGTACGCATCCGCTTTGGTTGGAAAAAGTCTGTTAGAAGCACTGATTCTGCCTTTTCACTCTCGATCTTTTGGTTTTCGACAAAAGGCATACGTACCAACAACTACGCACACCAGAGTACCTAGTTTTTCTAAAAACTACACATATACACAACTCTATGATATTTAACATAAAAAGTTTACCCGTTAAAATCATGAGCTAGAGCTGTAGAAATTCTTTTGAAAAATCTGTAACCATGGAAATGTACAGTAACAATGGCGCTTTGTCAAACCAATAACAACTTGAAGAATTCCTCTTGGATCGATCACCAGGCGCTAATGCTGGATGCTCAGCGTTAAGAACAACGTCATACTGATATGGTAAGCAAGACTCATTATTTATCCTAAAGACGATCACGAAACAATGAAATTATCAATATGAAGGCTTTGGCAATATAGGATAAAAATTCAGCTTACGCAGAGTTGAATTGGTTCGAGCGATCGCTACAGTCAGTACTAATTTCTAAAGCAGAAAGTCATGACTGATATTTGCGTTGAAATAAGCTTTCATTAAGCGCCAGGGCCAACGTAAATCACATTTTTACTAGAGCATAAATTATGATTTTGATCAATGATCTGTCTATATTGACCACCCCAATTATTCTCTACCTTGATAATTACGTAATCGGATGTATTTTTACTTTTACAGGGTCTTGGAAGAATTAGCTAACATAAATAGTTTCGCCGTAAAAAAAAGATACTTTTTTGACTGTGAGTCAGACACAACACAAATAAAGCTAAAACTGAATCAATTTTTTTCTTATATCGAAAACCGTTACTTTAGCGCTGAGTTTAATGGAGAAATCTGAAGAGGACAGATGGAATGTTTTCATTGAGTAATAAGTTTTAGCGAATCGAAATTGTGTATAAAAGCATGTCAGTTTGTGGTGAACATATGACTTCTTCAATCCAGGGAAAAAAGGTGAAAAAGTTTTTTCAGTTTCGACTCTGATATCACGCTTAGTATGTGTAGTGGCTGAGTTAGTGGAACAATGCACTGTTTGTTTATCTCAAATTTGATTTTTATGAGAGAACAGAACAGAAAGAATATGATACAACAAGAAGAAATATGTACATAATAATAATTTACTTAATCACCAGTGAATGAGAGTTCATCAAAGGTCTAACCTGTAGTACGATGACTCCCGCTAAGATCTAGGTGTACATAAAAGAGTGTAACAAAAAACTAAAATAAAGAAAAAAGATGATATTAAATGAACAAAAGAAAAAGTGAACAACAACTAAGACTAAGACTACAAATGTAAATAAAAGTAAACAATAGAAATAACAAAAATGAAAGATGACAATCAACTGTTGAAAATATGGAAGGAAAAATTTATGAGTCTTACATATCATGTAATATAACAGCATAAAATAGTGAAATTATTTATGTCACAGATTTCCTACGAATTATATTAGATTCTCTCGGCTCTCAAAAAATAAGAAATATTTAGTACTCTGTAAAGATTTCTCGTTATTGGAAGTGTCGCACAGCTTCGCTGTAGATTTTTGTCTAGAATTGGACTACTAAACTTTCTTCAACAGATTCCATATATGTTGTACAGCCACTGTAGTGTCATATAGTGCACAACAATAATCTGATTAGGTAACCTACACGGACGATAAACTCGTTTCCCAATGAATATCGATCATTTTGCCGTCAATAATAAGTAAAGAGTAAATTTAAATCATTAATTATGCGGTCTAATTTATTTTCTTCTATCCAGTTTCCTTTAAGATATTATTTGACGTTTTTATGCGGAGACATTTTTATAGCTAGGCTTTAGTACAAAAGCTTTTACTAATTACAATTAGAGCATGTTTTCATCCGTCTGGAAGATCCATACCCACCTTAGAGATTTTCTCGATCTCTTGTGCTTAATGGATCTGTTAAAGAGCGTTTGATTCTATTATATTTTCTAGATTTTTCTAAGAGTACACAGGACGCTATTGATGGTTATGTTTTTTATGAGAGAGAGTTTAATGAATATTAAGTTAAACGTTCATCATGAACAACAACAGTAATTGTTCGATATTTCCAATTTATCGACAATGTGCCCGTTGGTTAAGCGAATGTAACGTCTTGCCCGAAGCATTGACAATCTTAAACTCACCGTCAGCAACCATTGACGATTTGGCAAATGAATTATCGAATGGTAAATTAATTTTTAATTGATTTTATTTTGACAAATTGTAATCTTGGTCTTATCTGTTTTAGGAATTGTTTTATGTAATCTATTGAATTTTCTTCAACCTGGGTGTATTCAACACACCGATGTATCATTTCGTCCACAACGGAGTCGAGTATGTTCTATTGTTTATCTTCAAAGTCAAAGTTATTATTTTTCTGTGTTAATTTTTAGTTTTTATGTTTGCAAAACATCCGATTATTTTTGGAAACATGTCGTAAACAATTCAATTTCCGTGATCGTGACCTGTTTGATCCATATATGTTATTTGATAAATATGATTTAAATAAAGTATATTGATTTAATTATTATGGATTGTTTGTAATATTCTTTTCATTTATTTCTCTCTGAAAGGTTATTGAAACATTGTCAAAATTGTCTAATACGGATGCTGCAAAACGAAAAAAAGTGACGTATGTATTTTTGTTAACATGTTCAACTTTTCGGCAGTAGATTTTTGTTTGTTCCTTCTCTTTCTTTAGTCCATTTCCCGTTACTGGACCCTTTAATTATGTTAATATTCCAAAAGAAGATTCCTCGAACGATGCTGTGCCACTTCAGTAAGTTGAGAAGTATATTTGATCCGATAATATTTTTGAATGAATATTTATACTCATATGGCTTTGAATCAATAATATCTCGTAAAGTAAGAGAGTTAAAACTGTATCCGTTTGATCTTTTCACTAATATTGGACTAAAAAATTTCCAGAGTTCTTTTTATTCCAGTTCAGATATGGAAGATGATAGTGATCGGGTGCCATTGTATTATGCATCACCAGACATAGCAGTCCATGCTGCTGAACAAAATAATATCTATGGACATCTAATTGAAAAAAAGCGGGTGCGCGTAACAGAGAGACGAATCATTTGCTGCTTAGTATTTTCTAACATAAAATTATTTTATTTGCTACTAAAATTTATTGCTTTTTCTTATGCTACTTTCTTCTGCACGGCTTATGTTTGTGAGTGTGTGTGTACTTTTTCCTAGAATACTAGCTGTTATTTCATCATCAAACAATGTTGCACATCAAGAACAATTATTATGTCAGTCGTGTCAAAATTCACATACGATAACACAATCAAATTTTACGTCTTCCATTGATACTGTTATATCTTCATTGTCAAATTCAAATTCAATATTATCTATATCCGATGGTCAATTATCATCGCCAGTTGTTGCATGTGCCGCTTCTACTTTAGCTTCGGCCAGAATATGTTGTTTACCTTCTCATCGTCTTTCAACATCCTCATTACCGTATACAATAACAAATGATTGTGGAGTGTATGGATCGCATGTCAGCATTCAAGAAGATGTTTATGAAGCCTTATGCGTACAGCCGAAACGATCAATCAGTATTACGTCTAGTCAGGTAGAAAGAGATGACATTATTTCTGATCCATGTCGAGAAAGAAAACTTTGAATCTCTTTCGTTCTATTCTTATTCAAAACATTATGAAAGTACAGATGTATTATTTCCAAAATATTAACTTTGCTAGCCAGTAACTGCTTCATCTATCCATTGAATCAAAAGAATACATTTCATATTTTGCTTATATCTTAGCATTGCTGTATGTATTGATAATATAACCTAGCACTTCAACATTTTTAATTATATGGGTACTGTTATGATGAACACCTATAATTAGTTTACTAACAAAGCGTTGTTTTATTATTTGATGATTGAAAAATATAATGGATAATTTTATTTTTAGGATAATCATAGAGCATTTTTGCCACGCGATCATGCTGTCAAGGAGCTATTGGATACCGAAGCCAACTATCGTGATTCATTGAATGCAATTGTAACTGTAAGAAACAATATTGTTTTCTGAAATTCTTCATTAAATAAATGATTTTTCTTATTGTTTTAGAATTTTATCCAGCCATTGAATTTATCACTAGATGAAAAGAAAAAAATCTTTCTTAATATTGAAGTAAATAGTTTTTATCTATTTTTTTAACATGAAATTCTTTAATACTGTTCTTCTGTCATAGGATATTTATAAACTTCATTCGGAATTTTATGAAGATTTAAAAAAATCTGGCCGTAATGAAAAAGGACGAACATCGAGAATTGTTGATTTATTCACGATGTGGCAAGATCGTTTTTTAATCTATGTAATATTTACATGTTTATTCTCTATTTTTTATAAAAATATATTTTTAATTTTAAATTCGTTTTAGGCAAAATATTGTTCAGAATTGCCCGATGCACAAGAATTTCTAGATCGAAAAATAAAAACAGAATCACAATTTGTACAAAAATTAGAAGTAAATTTCGTTTATTATATTAGTATGACATATCTGAATCATTGCTGTTCTTTGTCTTTAGCAATGTCGACAAAAATCGGGTGACTTAGGAAAATTTCAACTACGTGATACGGTTGTTTTACCTTTTCAACGTATTGTAAAATATTCTTTGCTTTTACACGTAAGTTAGACATTGGCTAAAAAATAGACAAATTTTTTTCTATCTTGTTCTGTATTCACTGTTTTAGACCATGAAAAAGAATGTGCCATTAACTGATCCCAGTTGTGAAATGAAACGACAGTTATTAGAAAAAGCAGAAAATCTAATGACGGTATGTAATTAATTATATCGAAACGTTGTTCTAGACATCATGCTCCTTGACGTTTTGGATTGTTTTTCATTTATCAAAAACGATTAGTTCACTACAATCGTTTTTTGAATTCATCCACTTATTTTTATTTTATTTTTCAAAGGATGTCAACCAATTTATAAATGAAGCAAAACGTGCACATGACAATTTGAAAGTAATCGCTAATATTGAAAAGACAATATGTGATATTCAACTTGTGAGTATTCATTATTCGTGTGGTAATATTAACTATTAATCTACTTTTTTCTTTTTAGCCATCAGAAAGGCGTTTGAGAAACTATGGTCGTTTTATTTCTGATGAACAGTTTCAAGTGTACGATAATGGTCATCGATGTGGTACAAGGTAGATTTATTTTTACTACACATTTTCTTCTCCGCTTTTTTTCTCATATCAATACTTTATTTTCTAGAACTATTTTTCTATTCGATCGTGTGTTATTAATTTGTAAAGTTAAAGTATGTAAAACAGTATTTGACTTCTTTTGTATTTCAATTCAAAGTACTCAATGCATCTGTGACTACTTTTCGCTCTGTCATTTCATTTCCAAAAAGTGACAACGATGAAGACCCTCTATATCAACAATATTCTGCACCAAGAAACTTTCATTCGTCATATATCTCATGGTAGCCTTTCGGGCATATCGGTTCATCATATTTAAAAATCAGCTTTTAGTGTTTTTAAAATAAAACAGAACTATAAGAGAATGAAATGGTTTATCCGAAAATGTTATCAGATGTTCCAGTATTTCACGGTGCACTTAAGCCATTAAACATCACATTTAAAATTATTCATGATAAAGTACTTAGGGCTATCCAAAAGTAGTGAGGGAGGTACTATTTTTTCTTATAGAAAGCTTGAAAAATGTTTCTTTTTTTATGAACAGATAGAGCGTCTTTCGCTCTATTTTTCTATGCTATTTGATCACT